TCCTAAATATTTACAAAGATATACCACTGGAATAAAACAGGGTCGTTTTATCTCCTTACTAAACCTGCGACATCATAACGGCGTTCGTCTAGCTCTCCTCTATTATAAAGCCGGCCTATGTAAACTCTCTCTCTCTCTCTCTCTCTCTCTCTCTCTCTCTCTCTCTCTCTCTCTCTCTCTCTCTCTCTGGTTTTGTCTCTGAAATCGCAAAGTTGATTTCTTTGTATGTGATTTGGGGTTTTGAAGATGATCCCTCTGTTGATCTGAAAGCAGCTGGGGATCCTTACCTTTACTTTTTAATGGGTCGAATCTCTTATCTTATGTCGGAGGAGACTCTTCGTGAGGTAGGAGTCTGGGTTGTAAACGTGGAGTTCACACTCTTTCGTTGCACGAGTGATCATAAATATTTCTTCTTTACAGGCTATGAGTAAATACGGCAAAATTAAGAGCTTGTGGTTGGTCAGACATATTGGTGTAAGGCTTTGCAATTGCTCTGCTTTGTGATCTTACTTCTGTTGGTTTGTACACATATTGTCTTAGCATAACTGTGTTGATTATACATTATGCTGTTACATTTTTCTTAGTGAAGGGTGCTTCACGAGAATATGCTTTTGTGGAGTATGAGAATGAAAAGGAGATGTGTCATGCTTACATGGTACTATGGTGATGCTAACTTTTTTTTTGTTCTTTAAAGCTGTTTAAAATGTATATTCTCTGTTTTAACAGTGGAGTTTAGTTGTCGGAAAGATGTGTTCTTTTGTGGTGGTTATTTACATGATGCTCATCATCCACTTATTGATGGTCGAGAGATTATTGTTGATTATAATAGGCAGCAATTGATGCAGAGAAAATTAGGTGACTGCCATTCCTTACTCTCCTCAAGGAGTTAGATCTTCATTATCCCTTAGATTAATCTTTCTTCTTCTTCTCTGGAAAAAGGAGGTGGATTTAGTGGCAGGAAAGAATTTAGACAATCGTTTTGGAGGACGAAAAATACCTACACCATAAAAATGATTACTAAATCTATGTTAACTAAACCAGTAAACCATTCTCGACTCCCGTCACAGCCAACTTTGAATTATTAAATGTCATTCCATAACATTGTTTCATGAACGAAGGAAACCAATCTTTGAAATCAACTCTAAATAACAAACTCACAAACATTATTGATAAAATATTGATGATATCGACATTCTAGCTATATAACATAGTTTTGGTCAGTATGTTTTGGGTATAACATTGAAACTATACCGGTTAATTTTCTTACACAAAATTATGATTCTTTAGTAGTCATGCATATTAAACTTACGATTCTTTGATATAGTCAGGACTATTTTCAATTATATTATATTCACAATTATATTCTTTATTTACAACTTTTGAATATTGTCACAATCAATATTCACAATTATATCTTCATTATAATCAATCAACTAGAGTTTCACCCGCACGGATGTGCGGGTATATTTTTCATTTTATAACTATATAACAAAATTTTTTAAATATATGATTTATATTTTAGATTTAATTATAATTATATCTAATAACGAAATACAAAAATACTTATTTATTTAAAAAAATCAAAATTTTTGGTAAGATTTTGTTAGATTTTTTCAACAGATTTTGTTATATTTAAATTTATTTATTATTAATATCATTATTAATTATTAAGATATTTTGAAAATAATATATATTTGACTGGTTAATTTAACAATCAAATATGTCAAATTAAATAATTAATGACATGGCCGAGCATAACTTTTAAATAGTAGATAAATTTGGTACTTTTCTTTTAAATAGAGAAAATATATAATTAGTGAATCACCAAAAAAACTAAATTTCTATTAGACTACCTTTATGTTAAATAAATCGATTAATATATATATATATATATAAATTATAATTAGTCACGCTTAAAATCAAACAATTAATATCTAAATACTAAATGTCTAATTAAGCGTTAAAAATCACCAATATAATTGGCTAAGCGTGATCCAGTACACCCAAGAAAAAAACAATATATAACATGATCCAGTAATGCAATATATTGTTAGTATCAATAAACTAAGCAATGCAAACACAACTATTAAACTTTTGTGTTTCAATATATATATCGTAAAACAAACACCCGTGCGGACGCACGGGTCAAAATCTAGTATATAATTAATTTTACTTAAAGAAAACCTAATTATTTTATAGAATAACTGATATATCGTAACCTCCTCTTTAACTCCTATATTTTTGATATCCATAACTTTCATCTTTTACTCGCACAACCTTTCTTATCTATATTTTAAAATTAACTTTTCTTTATCTATTAGAGAGACCAAAGGAGAAAATTTCTGGGAAAAATGACTTCTAACTTTTTCATCGCTGACAACAACCAATTGATCAACGGTATTTACCGTCCGATTTCCAGTCTCATTCCCGGAAAACATCGTCTATGCTCATATGTAGAAGAAAAAGCTCTTGCTCGAGTTAGGAGGAGTTAGTGGGAGATGGATTTTTAAGGAGTTGAAGAATTTAAAGATTTTATTGTTATTGGTAACATGATTCTTAGATTCCTAAAAAGTCTTGTGTTATTGCTTTGGTGGTTTTAAAATTTCATATAAATCTTTTGTTATTCAAAAAGTTGAGTATTTTATGATTTTGTAATTCTATTAAATTATGGTGTTATTGGAACAATGATTCATTGCATTTTAACGATCATTACTCATAACTTTCAAAATACTATAGTTAACTCATGTATTCTTAAAATTGAGATGAAAAAATCAATATCTCTTTTATCATACGTGATTGTTTATATGTGAGGCACCACCATGTTTTGTTTTTTCTATTGAATAAAAATTATGTTTCTCAATTACCAAAACGTGTATGAATAAACAATCATACCAACAAACCTCAACGTAACTTTTTTTTTTGAAACTCAACCTCAACGTAACTTATTTGTAACTCAATCATATCATTTTATTGTGACTTGTTCCTTTAAAATGATAAATCTAGAAAATAACACCATCACAGATGGAAAAATAAGTTATAAATCATTGAGAAACGTAGAAGTAAGCATTAACGCTGACTTCCAGCTTCTACAGCATCATTCCACATACTTAAAGCTATTGAGTCTCTCCAGTTATTAGCATATTCTCTTTGTTGAGATTCGGGAGCACCCACATGTACAACTTCTTCAAAGTTTGCTTGGTCATTGTTTGGAGTGATCACTTCTTCTGGAAAAGCATCAGACCGACAATACTTCCGTAAAAAGTTATGTAATCCAGCACAAGCTAAAACCAATTATGCTTGTAAAAGGAAAAGGAGGTGCCGAATTAAAAATCAAAAAACGATATTTGAAAATGCCGAAGATTCGCTCAATCACGTTTCTCAAAGATGCATGTTGCAAACTGAACAACTCGTTTTGGTTTTGAGAATCACGGCCTTCACCTCTAAATTCTTGTAAATGATAGCGAGTACGTCTAAATGGAGCTAAAAACTTTTGAGGATTTACAAATCCACAATCTACCTGATAAAATTTCCCTGAAATTCAATTTGTAAATAAATTAAAATTCTGTACATATATAAATTGTGTACTACAACTTAAGTACATATCTTCTGGAACGATTAATCTGCTACCATGCCTTGTCAAAGCATTACTTAAAATTTTTAAATCATGAGCTGATCCTTCCCATCCACTAAGAACATACATTAACTCCAAGTCAAAGTTGCAAGCAGCAAGGACATTTTGTGATATAAATCCTTTGCGATTACGATAGCTTGGAACATCAGAAATTGGTATCATTGCAAAAATATGTGTACCATCAATAGTTCCAATACAGCCCTATAAAGATTAAAATAGTGATTTTCAAAGAAAAAAATAAACAAATAAAAAAAACTAAGCGTAACTTAGTTAAATTTTATATGTACCTTGAAGTAGGGATAAAATCTTGTGCTCTCACTTATCTTTGCAGCTGTTGTAACTCCAGGCTTTACCATCAAATCAGGTGCTAAGGAATTAAATGCACGCAAGACTTTATAAAAATTTTCACTGATAGTAAACTTTGATCTCTTGAATGTGTCTTTTGTGTACCCATATTTTGAACCTTGACCAACAACAAGTAAACATGTGGCCACAATTTTTTCGATGCATATATTCTGTGTATCTCTTAGACATGTCTTCATTCTAATAAGATCACAAAAATTTTCAAATGAGCTTGGATACATGTGATATAGTGATCGAAAGTGCTCAGGGTCCTCTTTCAAAGCATTTTGAATGTAATCATAACCAATGTTAGTGATTGGCCGACGAATGGGGCGTTGTATCCGATTGTCACTTCTCACAGACGCTGTTGCTATGTTATTTAACAGCACCAGAAAAATGTCTAAATCTGGCTCATCTTCTTCTATTTGGTTTGCTTTTATATCATATATCATACGTCTGTTCTTCTTCTTCAAAGGGGCTCTCCATGATAAAACACCTACAAAAAGAGATTACTATTAATAACTGAAATACACAAAGTATCTTTAAAAACTACTAATAGAATAAGCAAGACACTAACAATAAAGTTACTTAGGGGGATGTGGGCTACCGACACAACAATAAAATAAGCTACATGTTATAACAACAGCGTGACATTTTGTATTGCTAAAAGCAACAAAAAAATATTTAAAAACTCATCATATATATTAAACGAAAACCAGTTTAGTATCTATAAATAAAAAAAAGCAGTCTAGAATAATTGTAAAAAAATAACAAAACAGTCTAAAACAGAGATAATAAAACAGAGATCAATCGTAGTTGACATTGCTTTGGATGATCATTATTAGTTGACATTGCTTTGGATCCAACCATAGCGTTCTTCTATGGACATATCAGTGAAGACATCTTTCATTCCTAAGGAGTAGATAAGGGTCACCGCTTTAAATTTGATACGATCATCCAAATTAGGAACCTCTTTCATAGCATCCCAAACACTATATTTCTTCTTTTCAGCTTCTCTTTTCTCAACTTATTTTTGTTGTCTTTCTTCTCTCTGCTGTATGAAAGTGAGGATCTTGCTGGTCATCATTACCATAGCGTCACTTTGATCAGTGTTTATCTCAACTGAACTGCTAGATGCGCCGGTTCGAGATCGTTTTCTTGAGATAAGTTTTTCCACACGCCTTTTAACAACATTTTCTGGGGATGGTTGCTGAACATAAACATCATCATTGATGTCCTCAAAATTCAAGTTTTCTTGTGCTTGAATGTCACCAACCGTGAAGACGTGAGCATCCGTGGTATCACCCAAGCCAATTGAAGAACTACCATTAGCAGTTGCACAATCAATATATGATTTTCAAATCATCAAACTGTTCACTAGAGGCATAGCGTAAAAACTTGTGATTTGGATGTCCCTACAAAAAAAGTTATACTTAAAATACAATAGAAATAATTTTTTAAAAATACATTGCTTTAAGAACTTATGTAAACCTATAGTAGTAAGTGATCCTTGTTCACAGAAACTATATCACTTGCATATATTATTTAACTCATAAACTGAATTTTATCTAACAAAAACCTTGCAATTCAAGAATATATCTAATAAAATGATGCAAAATAAAGACATACCTTTAAATAGTCATTCCATACTTCGTTAGAAGCCACAAATCTTTTCATGATAGGATCCCATCCAAAACTTGAACTGTTGTTTAAAAGATCAACATGACAATGATATTGATCCTTCAAGAACTTGATTCTGCTTTGGTAATGCTTGTGGGTTTTTTGGCATCCAAGTCTTTCATTCAAGACTGGTAGTATTTTATATTCCACCGTTGCTTTGTTCATTATACCGTTACTGTCACGCCATCCACGTTGAATCCCCTCCACAAGTAATTTATCAAAACCTTGGTTTCCTCTGAATTCCATAGGCTATACTGATTTTTTCTTTATCCCCATTGCAATCTTATGTGGAGTTAATCATTATTAGTAAAAACATACACATAAAAATATTTATCACAACAAACAGTAAACATCAAATCTTATACTTCTAGTCTAAACAAATAAAATACTGAAACCAAACGTAACTTGAAAGCAACACAAATAACAATCAAAACATTTTATACAACTTATATATATATATATATATATATATATATATATATATATGAAAAACAGAGATATGGATCATGAAAAGAGAGAGAGAAAAAGGGAGAACCAGAGTAGATAAATAGTAGTAGAAAATGTTAACATATTTGTATATATTATATGGAAAATAGATAAATAATAGTAGAAAAAAATTAACATAAATCCCAATAGATCATCACCAACAAGCCAAAAAACATATATGGATTCTACAAATATGGGAAGACATATTGATTTTTGAAATCAGTGTGAATCAGTTTTCCACTAACCCCTTTTAGATTCATGAGTATTTGCATTTCATACACACACAAAACCCTCTATTTAACTGTATACCTTATTTTCCCCTTCTCTCTCCTCTCTACATCACTATTTTTTCTCCCTCTAAAATATGGCAAATCCTAAATAACTTCTTCTTTAGGTATATTAGACTAAATTACTCTAGATTCATTTTGCTTTAGTTATGTTTTTTTTTTTTTTCTGATGGTACATCACATAGAAGAGGTAATATTTTGGTCAAATGGGTGTACGAGAATGATGGTTCAGGATATGCTGAATACGCATAGACCCATTAGTTAATTTTCTGCTCACTAACAAACCCTAAATAATATCTTATACAAACCCAGATAGAGTATACATCTGTTTAAAAGTCCAAAATTTATCACATTTATATTTATGGAACCAAAAAAATGTTTTAATTTGAAAAAGCTATTGATACTCTATCCTATTGTCAATATTGATTCAATTACAAACATTAATAAGTTTGCATATTATATATATGATTGTGAATAGACATGTTGACTTTTATATGTTTGTCATTTTGGTTGAACAATAAAATAGATTGGCTATTTAAAATTCAAATATGAGGTATGGCAAAAGAAATAAACACTTTTCTCACACATAAAATCACATAGTTAGCAAAAACAAATAGTAATACACAAGTTCACATAGATTACGACAAAAGTAAAAAACTATGTTTTCATATTTAAAACGTACAACTTTATATTTTTTTCAAAAAGATATATAAAAATGAACTCGTCATACTAAAAACGGGTCAAAATCTAGTTTCTTATTGAAAATTCCCAACTAATACAAAACTTTTCTTCGAAAGCGTTGGATAGTCAACCATTAAAATAACTTCACTATTCTTATTGATATAAAAAAATGAATAAGAAAATGCTCATTACTAGTACATAATATTTTTCTAACCCTTTAAATCTTTGTTAAAAAAAACCCAATTCCTACCCCAAGCAAAAAGAATGAAAGAATAGAATCAATTTTTTTTTGTTCCCTATAAGCTTAATTAATAAAAAAACAAATTAACCATTTTCTCTAAAGTCTCTAAAACCTTGCTTCATCTAAAACGAAGAACTTCCTCAGATAGCCCAAGCGGAGACCGTGAATAGCGGCTGATCCGACCACCATAACGTCACTCCACTACCTCCTCCTCCTCCGTCTTCACCGCTCCTCTCCACATTAAATAACTCTTCATCACCATTTCCATACATCCTAAGCAGCATCTTGCTCTGCAAAACCTCCCTCTCCGAAACTCCTAGACTCCGAAACCCTAACTGCTCCATTCTCCTCCTCCAATGCCCAAAACCCATATGCCTCTCTTGCCGATGACTTCCTTCACACGCCACAATGTTCCTGATCTCTCTCCCAAACAAAACCTCCTCAATCTTAACCCTCATCAAGCTATCCACACCAAGATGCTTGTGCATCACGTCAAAAATCGCTGAATAGTACTTTAACGAGTTAAACACTCTTGTCTCAAGCCGCATCGAGTTATGTTCCGCTTCCTGTTCCACAACAACGACAGCTACAGGGTTCGTGCTTCTTACCAAACCCACAAAGTCCCTAAACGCAGCTCCTGTCCCATCGTAAAGCGTCTTGTGCATCTGCAAAACGCAGTTCACGCCGACCGCTTCGCCTTCCTTGACGTGAAGCATCCAAAGCCTAACGTCCTCGAGTCTATCAACAACGGGATGGAACTCAAACTCAAGATTCATCGCCTCCGCGAACCCCTGGAGACGATCTCCCGTCTCGTTGAGCTCGTGTTTTGACTCTCCAACGCCCGTGATACGCACGTGGCGTGGCGGGTTAGGTCTTGAAGCTAGGGTTTGGAGGAAGCTAGGCCATTGTAAGCCTTGCTTGATGTCGAAGTCGATGATGTGAACTCTCTCTTTCCCTTCGAATGCTCTGAGTAACATCGAGTTCGCTGTGTAGTGAATGAACTTTGGGATTGGTGTCACTTGGTTCAAGAATCGTAACGCGTTTGCTGTATCGTCCTCGAGGGTTCGGTCGAATTCACGAGGCGGTGCGATGTGGAAGATGTGAGGCCACATGCGGGCGACTCGAAGAGCTAATGCTTCTGTGTAGTAAGATATGAGTCGTGTCATTGGTGTTGTTCCTGTAGGAGAAGCAAGTTGACCTGTTCTTGCGATAAAATGGTTGATCGCAGCTATGTTCCTTGTCCTAATCGCTTCTAAGCATCCAGTAAGCAGATTCACAAGCTCGAGATCCCTCTGCAAGTGATTGTTGTTGTTGATGTTTTCAATGGTTCTTTCCTCTGTACTGTCTCGGTGTGAATATGGATTCCTCGAACCATTTGTAGATTCTGGTACTCTGTGTCTTAAGCTATGACTGTCTGATGATGCGCTTGTTGATGATCCAGAAGCTTCCTTGACTGCTGCAAAACGGCTACTCTCAGTGTCCTTATCGCCAAAACCAGCTAACTCGGTGATAACCCAGTTTGGGCTGCTCTGTAATGGCTGAGAGATCACTTCGCTGGGTGCAAACCAAACCTTTTCTTCATCATCACCTGAACATGTCAAAGAAAAGGGTAATGCTGGAGCTGAGTTCTGCGTACTAAACCAGAAACCTCGATTGTAATCTTCATCTCCTGTTTCGCTTCTTTGTCTCTTCACTCTGCTCAGACAAGACTCGTCCTTGTTCTCCTCGGCGAATCTCTTCAAACACTTCTTTCCTCTGTTGTTGTTGTCCTTGTTCCAAGAAAACCCTTCTGCATTTCCTCTTGTTGTTGCCAAAGGTGGAAGCTTTATGCTCTGTTTAAGCGAACATCCACCGGTCTTGCGCTCAATCGGTTTGTTGTCGAGTGAGATGCTGCGTCCAAGTGGTCGGCTGGAAGATGTTTCCTTGCGGGAGAAGCTACTGCTGCGGGGTAAGTCCAGTCTCTGTGTGTTCATGGGAAAGTGTACTGAAACTGTGCCTGATGTTGCTTCACTCCTTAATCTTCGGGTCGGTGACAATAATGAAGAACTCGAACAACCTGCCAACATCCTCTACAAATATCTAGCCACCCTAATGTCTAAGTTCCTGGAGTCTTTAAAAGACTGCAAGAGATGCTCTAAGTGTGTGTGTGTGTTTGTCACAAACAACAATTGATGAAAATTGGAATCCGATGGAAAAAAAAAATCAAAATCTAATGAGTGTTTTCTTTTCCTCAGTTTTTTGTTATGAAATCAAAGTGAGTCCTATATGAAGATAGAAGAATGAATTTTTGGTGAAAGCAAAATAAAAGAATGTGTTTTTTTAATTTGTGAAGTGAAAATGAAAAAAGAAATATGCAGTGTTGAGAGAAAGAAATAGAAAAAAATGAAATGAATCCCCTCCCCAAATCTATATTCAAATAAAGAATGAAAGAATGGAACTAATCTAAAAAACTTATCTCAAATCAATCTACCATAAAAAAATCATCGGATTCCTTTTATGAACAATATAACCAATGTGGATGATGATAATGATGACCGACGAATTCACATCATCATGAACAGAGGATGCTCTTGAAGTTGCTGGGTTATGTTGATGAACAGACTAGGAAATTGTTGTAGACTGGGTTCTCCATTTCGGTTATCCATTCTTGTTTTGCCAATATCCACAGATCAAGAAGTCTCCTCAGATCATCTACAAACCTCTAAACCCAGATCAGAAAAACTCCCAAAGATTTTTCTTCTTGTCTCTCTCTCTCTCTCTCTCTCTCTCACTCACTCACTTTTGTTTCTCTCTCTCTCTCTCTCTACCACTCTACAGGATGTGGTACTATACAGGGTTGTTCTACTAATATCATACTTCACCGACTTTTCTTTTTAGTTTGTATTCTTCCTTGTTGGGGTCTTCGAGAATTGAAGTTGTCACTTTTCGTTATTGTTTTTTTAGGGTTGGGCAGAGTGAAGTGGTACACGAAGGCACTCTGGATGTTTATGCTCCGTTGGATCCACATAATCGAACGGTCTAAAAATTGTTGAAGGTTTAGTGACCGTTTGTATATTGTCGGAGAAATATGACCGTTGGGGGAGGAAGGAGAGTGTTGTGTGTGTACGGACATCAATGATTTAGTCTCATTGGGAAAGCAAAAACAAAACGACTTTTACATACACAACAAAAAAGACATTACCATCATATTTTACCCCTTTTGTCAACAACGCATTAGTTTACTCTTTTTTATTATTCTTTTTGAACAAATCATTAATTTACTTTATAGGATAACACATTCCTGGTAAAAAAATCATTTGACAAATTCAAAACTTTATTCGACGGAATTTTCTTAAAATTAGGATGTTTTCATAAATGACTTCTGTCAAATATATTATTATTATTATTCTTATAGAACACTAATTTAAAGACATATAAAATGAAAAATTGAGTTTAGGGGTATACAAATACACCGAATATATAAAGAAAAGTTTTAAGTCGTACGAGTTATTGGCCATGGTGGAGATAGTGCCCGCTCTAATCCTTGGCAATATAGGCAAATGTCATAGGTCTATAGGTTCAAAATAAATTTAGGTGTTATTTTACTAATTAAAAAAGTCTATTTTGTTTTTTAAATATTAATTTTTTGGTGAAATTATAACAAAGGGATTAACTAAAACTAATCAAAATACAATAAGAATAAAAAAAGTTAATGTGCACCATTCTCAATTTTTTTATAAAATGGTCTTTGTTTTATATTTTGCCTAAGGTTATTAACTTTTTTTAAAACGGTGCTGGGTGGAGGTGATGGTCTCAACAGCTTTTTCTTTACATTTCTCATCCAAGAATATTGACTCTGTCATTTGAAAACAAGTTCGTTTAAGTAATGTCATCTCCAGTTTCTCTTTTGAAACGATCTTTGGAGAAGAGTCGCATAACTACTCACGGCGTTGAGTAGGCCTGGGCATCCGGATCCTCGGATCGGGTTCGGGTCAGGTCCTGTCGGGTCCGAGTCTTTTGAGTCTTGAAAATTTAGATTCATATGCGTACCTATGATTTTTCGGATCGGTTCTGGGTCGGGTCTTGCCGGGTCCAGGTTGGTTCGGGTATATAATTTCAATACCTGTAAAATATCCATAATTTTCGGATCCATATCGGATCCGGGTATTTAGAATTTAAAAAAGACATAACATGCCCAAAGTCACTCAAATTCAGTCAATATTTTTCATATATATCTAAAATTTTATAAAATAACTTAAATTAAACTATTAATAATTAAAGAAAACATTTTTAAACTCTAAATTTTACATTTTAAAACTTTATATTACTTCAAAATGTTACAAATAATAATAAATATTGTTAACAAAAGATATTTCAACTAAATTATAAAATAGTATAGATATATAAATCATAACACAAAAATAATAGTTTTGGATATATATGTTTATAACTTGGGTACAAATCGGTTCTTATCAGGTCGGGTCTATTCGGGTCGATTCTTTTCGGGTCCGGATCTATTCGGGTCGGTTCTTTCCGGGTACAGGTCTATTCGGATAAAAGAAATTTAGACCCAATAGGTATTTATAAATTTTCGGGTCGGGTATTTTCGGGTCAGTTCCGGTTCGGGTCTTCGGGTCTGGGTAAAATGCCCAGGCCTAACGTTGAGTGTTAATCACTTCATCACCCAATTAGATTCATTGTTGTTATCTACAGCATGGGATTGGTGGCCATGATTGACGACAAGACAATCAATATGTTTGTGTTTAATTCATATTTAAGTGATAAGAATTTTATCCTAAATTTTGTTCTGAAAACAATTTTCATGGAAATCACCATGGGTAAATTTTTGGAGGAATAATTTTTTTTGTATTATGGTGATGTTTTTAGAATTATTGAAATTGGCATGTCCGATCTTCATTCCTTTCAAGAGAATCATTATATTGAATTCTTATTGATGTATATCTATAGATCTAAGTTGGAGTTTAACCTGTTATACAACAAAAAAAGTTGCGAAAGAAAGTTTGGAAGTTGATCAACTATATGATTGTCCAACGTAATCGCAAAAAAAAAATAGAATTGTTATTATGTTATCAAAGAAGATATATGGATCTAGCTCTCGGTATTTCTGATTATGGGTTATATTCGAACCAAACTTGAAGAGACATTCAAAAAACAGAAAAATTAAATAAAAAGTTTATCAAACCTAACATGAGTTCTGAAAAAGTATCCTCAATACTCTAAATTATGCTCAATACCTAAAATAAGTACATATACAATTAATTAATTCAAATACTTAGTTCAATGTATATTTTGGTATTGGTCAAATATTGAAGATTATGTTTTGATAGTTGCTTTTGAAGTTCACTTATGGATATGTTTGGTTTTGATATTTAAACAAGTTGTTTTACTTTAGATAATGTTTTCTATGTTTACAGAGTTGTTATAGCTAATCTTAACTTGTTTATATTTCTCATGTTAATGACCACATATGAATGATATCACAAAATTTTTACTAGCGCAAATTGTTTAGATTTGCCAATTTTGGAACCAAAATGCATTCTTTTGAATCACAAATAAATATTTGGATTGCCGAAACACAAATTAGACCAAACCATAAGTTTAAACATGTTCAAATGAGTTTATGATGTATTATTATATTCGAACTCGAGAAACTGTTGTATAGTGTGTGTTTTAGCTATTATTTTTGGTCATTTTAGCGTTTAGGAGTTGTATTTAGGTTTCATTAGGAGTTGCATTTGTACATATTGCATACACAGAGGAGCTGGAAAACACAATTACAAATTATGGGGCAAATCAGAGGACTTTTCTGCACAAACCGAAGTTTGGAGGTCAAACTGCAATATATCAAAACCTTAGGGACCAATCTTGAAATTATGCAAGAATTGGACATTGATTCGCTCGTGAGCTTCAGAGCGTTCGCTGCGAAGAAGACGAAGCGCTCGATCCTTCCGGCTCGATCCAAGCACCAAACCGAGAGCTCCAATCTATCGATGTATGAATGGAGACTGGGGTACTTGACCTTTAGCCCTCGAGTTTCCAGCTTGTAGCTGGGGTTCAGATCGATCGATACACGATCTTTAATGATGAAGACGGACTCGTGTAGCAGCAGACACAGCACGGAAGCGGCAGAGATACAGTGGGGCAATGCCAAAGGTACATCCACAGCCAACGAGTACTGAGTTCGAGCTCATGTGAGAAGAAGAAGAACCGCAAACGCGGTTTGTCCAAAACGCAGTCGCAGAAAATGGCGTTCAGCTTCTGGTGACCTAGCGTAGCGATTGAGTTTTATTTTACTAGTAGATTAGATTGAAAGATGGATGATTGATGATGTTTAAGACCAGATTAACATTGTTCAAAGTTTGCTAAAGGTTCTTAATGCTAAATTTGATTTATCTCTCAGATCTAGGTTCTAAGCTATTTCACGCCTGGAAAGTGTTTGTAGAATTGCTTGAATGAACTTAGAATTGTCCTTTACAGATTTGGCCAACGGAAGTTGATGCCTGAGATGTCTAATGGTGAGTAGACTTGAGATTCATGTATGCTTGAGTGCGTTAGGCCAACAAAAGCTGATGTTTAATTCATGACTATCATAAGAGTTTCTGTCACAGAAATGTATTAATCTATTTAAACGAGATCTAGACCGTTATAGTATTTGTTAGTCAATGATGTCTGGTATCTAAATCTAAATCGTTCATCTCTGATCAGTTACCATAACCAAAGGCTTGTCTTTCTTAGTGTTTTATCTAGTAATAGTAATTAGTTGTCTCCTCTGTACTATACGAGAACAGATAAAACGAACGGACTCTCTCTCCTCTGTACTGTACCTCTCTCGAAGAAAAAGAAAGTTTCAGATCTAGATCCACCTCCGGCTCTGGCGGCGCGTGCGCGGGCGTGACGGTGCCGGAGGGCTCCCTCTCTGTCTTAGTTGCTCGTATTCTCTTTGCTTCACCGTCATATCTATTTCTCGTTTTGTCTTGTTGATTGCTCTGTCCCTGGATGCCCGTCGGTGACGTCTTTGCTGCAAGGAAGCTCCGGCTTCGACGTAGGTGTGATGGGTGGTGGAGTC